AGTGATGAGTGGCAGGCGACCTTCACTGTAGACTGCCTCTAAATGCCTCTGCCGGCCGATTTCTAACAAACTGGGAAACACAAGCACAAAAAAACTACATTTGCTGCGGACGACGAATTGCATAAATTTGCCACAGGACATGCCACATACCAAGGACAGTCCATGATGGTCCCATGTCTGCGCTCTCAAGGCCCTACAGCGCTTCAGACAGCCAAGGTGCATTTTGCAACGACGATGCTCCCCCAGGCTCCAGCCGGTGGTGTGGGCGACACACGCCCTGCCACAAGTGGCGGCTGCAGGGAGAACATACAGCCCCACCCAGACACTCCATGTATGGATTATACCCCCCAAACTACCCCAACGGATGCAAATATGGCAAACATGGAGTGTCTGGGCCATGAAGCTTGCCCCACTAGAAGCGGGACATCCGACACCTCTTACTGTATCTGTCTGACACACCCTCCTGCGCCATCCGGCATCGGTCCAAGCGTGGGACGACCTCCGGCAGTGAAGGGCTTCGTCCGGAACATGCCACTGACCGAGCACATGGAAAGGTTCTCTGCCATCTTTGACCACGTTATTTGCACTGGCTTGCAGCATAAACATGACGTTCTATGGCTGTTGAAACACAGCTTTTCAGTGCCCCCTCAACCCCCAGTGCCCCCAGCCTCCCCGGTATGCAGCGGCGCAGTGGGTTCACCGCCCAAGCGGAGGACATCCGGCGGCTTGGGCGCCATGCGCCTCGACAAGCGAGGAGTGGCCCCGCAAAGCGATTCACATCTTTTTTGCGGGTGGCGTATGAATATGAAGTGCTAAATACCGTTGTTTAGTCTTGACTCGTTATATATACATATATATATACCTAATATCCAGAATCCAAAATTTAAAAAAAAAATAAACGTTGGATGAAAGGAGCACAGCTCCCCACAAAAAAATAGAATGAAAAAAGGCGCTTCGCGCAAAACCATCACAAGGACCTTCACTCACCGGCACCTGTGCGGCATCCCGGGCATCGCCACCTCGATGGGCCGCGCATCGCGCCCCGCAGCGCCCAGCACTATGCCATGATGCGCCTGCACAAGGTGTCCAACCTAACGCCAGTCGGCTACCCCCCCACACACGTGTTGAGAGACTCACAAATGCGTGCGCACAAACACATGCATGTGCAAACCTTCGAAGCAGTCGCGCCTGATTCATTCAACCATGTTCTGCGGCCCATTCACTCACACAAAATGCACTGACTGGTAGGGCAGGGGTATCACACGCGTTGGGTGACTCAAACTATCTATATAAACTGATGTCATGAAACATCAAAACAGGAGTCTAAAACACTGAAGGAGCACATCTGTATTGGACTGACCATGGAAAGTAAGTCCAGTCAGTGACTGTTCACCTTGGGCCGACCATCTCTCCATAATTATTGATTGTCTCTGCAAATCATCGGCAGCCTGTCCAGAAAATCACACTCACAAAGCACCAAACCTCAAACCGAGTGCGAACGTTTCAGCCTGGAAGAGTGCAAATTCCGTTGCCTCTCCTGGATCAGATGTATGACACTTATCTTTGAGATGCAAGAAAGTCACAGCAAGTCCATTGCTGGTACACTTTTAGGTTCCGCCTTCCTCTTGATTGGTACAGCTGTAGCACCAACTGCTTGGGGCGTGAGACTTGCGGGCATCTGCGCTTCTTCCGCTAGCTGGTCCTTGCTTGGCTCCCTAGTTCGGGTGTTCGATGCAGGGGGGCCCAAACATGTCCTGGTTGCCTGGCAATTTCACTCCACTTGCAAAAATATAAGCAACAAGCAAGAAAGGTGATGCTTTTCGTGAACCCTTAGAAACAGTGTTCCCACAACCCGTTTGCTTGATATACATCTACATAGCTCTCACGCCCTTTCCTTCGGGGGCCACGGACCCTCGGGAAGCCGGCAGCGCAGCAATTCTGACCCATCCCCTTCATCATGCGCAAAGCACCACACACGAACAAACAAACGTGTCTTTGCAGAAATCAGCGCGGGGGCCCGTCCAGTCAGTGGAAGCAAGTCCCTGTCACATGAACGATGGAATTTAGTGGTATACCTTATGGGCCAATAAGAGACATGGTTTTTGAATGGAGGATTCTCTCCTTGAGTTCATTGAGTCAAAATAAAATGGATCAAAGCTTCGGCCTGGAAAACCAGTTTCACCTCTGCCAGTTTTCACCATCTGCACTGCATGGTCCTGTGTTGGGAGGGCCCACTCCTGGCCGAAAACGAGCCCCACAAAACAGACAGGTTGGTGGCCGGTTGGCGGTGGGGCGTTGGTAACCAACTGCCACACGTAGGTGGCAGCTTGTTAGGCTGTTAGAGGAAACGGGGCAGCCTACCTTTACATGCTCACAGATGGTGATGGTGATGGTGAGGGGCTGCAGGCTTTTACCATCTCAAACAAAAAATGAGGGGAATTCAACACCACACCTCGAGGGCGGCCATCTCTGGCTGAACACCGGCAGCAGCAGCAGCAGCGGCACAACAATCACCAATCACCACAACCACAACCGCAATTACTACAGCATCACCCATACATAGTCATGTTTTTTAAGGTAGGCGCGCTTGTTAGGGGCCACGCGGCTATGCATCTTTTAGTTTTTGTGGCCTTGAATTCACTTGTACTTGCAAACGAAATTGATGCTACGTCACAGGTGGGGTGGGTGTGGGGTGGGGTGAGGCTCTATTGACGACACTTGTACTTGCAAACGGGTTTGACGCTACGTCATGGGTGGGGTGGGGGTGGGGTGAGGTGCTGCTGCTTCAACTTCATTCCTGTTAATGATATGCTCCTACACAATGCATTCAATGCCATAACATTTGGCTCAAGGGTACCATATTTGACCCTCACCCCACCCCCACCCCATCTATGACGTAGCATCAAGCCTGTTTGCATCTCCAAGTGACATCAATAGAACCCCGCCCCCACCCTCTAAGCACAAGTGACGGCCCAAAAGCAAGAAATAGAACAGACACAAATTTTCTTTGCTCTGCAGCAAGCGAATCTCAGTTCTATGCACACTGAAGGCTAAAAAGCAAAACTGTACAAGGCTGCCACGCAGAAAGGTTCATCTACTGCGCTAGAGCGGTACACCGCGCTCAGGACGGAAAAATGTGCGTCAGCTCTTACCGAGCGTCATCGAGGCTCGTCCTTGCTCGGGTCGATCGCTCCTGGGCGTTGGCTTGGCCGGTAGAGCGCCCTCGCGATGGTCTTGGTCAGGAGCGCGAGACTACCAGCAGATGGTGTCTCTAAAGTTTTTGCTTACCTTCCGCTGGAAGCAAAAGGCACTGAAGGTTCTGATAGTGATCCTTCAGGTTGAGGCACTTTCGCTAGAGCGGCTTGCCTCTTGTTAGGGTCTTGCTCAATTCTCGTCAAGTGCATCCGGCCCTCGCGCGATAGATCGCTGTCTGCCAAGCTTGCATCAAACTCTTCTTGGGAATTAGCCGTCATCAAGGCGATGATGACCTTTGAGTGATCAGCTTGAGGTGTTTCCTCAATCTTCTCATTGATCAGAGATTGGAGGGCATCTGGCGTGCACCGGGTGGTAACGTCATCTCCCCATAGATAGGGAATGACCCATTTGTGTGCTGCCTGCGCTCGCTGTTCGAGGTAGGATAGACCTACCTCTCTCACCATCTGTCTGTCGCGAGCACGCTGACGTCTGGTTTTGACGTTCTGTGCGGCCGTGTTCTCTGTCAAGTAACGTTCTTCAAAACGTTTTTCGGCAGCTGCCTCAGAATCCAGGGTGAGGCTGGGGGTTCCCTATCAACTGCTTGAAAGAACTGCGCCGCAGAACTTGTGACTTCTTCTGCCTTATCGGCCGCTAGAGCGCCACTTTCTTCGTCCATTGCTGCATCCTCTGTGACTTGTGAATCTAATGGTGCAGTGCAGCAGGCGCAATCTGAGACTGATGTGGAATCGGATGTCGAAATGCGACGACGACCAGTGGTCGTCAAGGTGTTGTCAGTAATCTCCTCACTTGGAGAATCTGGCAAATCACCGCTCCTCAGGTCAGAATTGACGTTCCCCTGCTCGTCAAAGTGTGCTTGAGTTGGAGCGACTGGATCTTGTGCCGTTAGGGGTCCTCGCAGTTCAGGATCCGACTCGTCCGTATCACCTGATCGAAGGCGATAATGAGGAACATCTGCCGGAACATCCGGCGGTGCTGGTGTGGCAACCGCGGTGTCCGGCTCGACCAAAGCAGGCGTGCCCGCTAGAGCGGGATCCACTGCCTCTTGGTCAACTTCCTTGGGAGCTGCTGTGTCATCGGCCGGCTCCGAGCGTCCAGCGGCGAATTTTGCGAAGGCTGATGCTCTGCGCAACATGATACGAGCTGGTCCGCAAGGAAGTGAATCGAATTGAAAGCTGTGAAGCAAAGTGAGCAAAAATGGCTGCTGTATGCAGACACAAATTTTCTTGAGACAAGAAAACGGTCAAAAACAAGCATACAAGCAAACTGTCCGCCAAACCGCTAACGCGGCAACACGTAAGGTCTTACCGACCATACAACACAGTGTACACATCTGCAGCAACATCTTCAGCGAAGAAGCTTACTATACAGTGCGGTTCATAACAGTGGCTTATTACCAATTCAGCGACGAAAGCCTTATGTTCGACAAGTGTACGAAACGGCGGATGCATATCCACTGCCTCTAAGCATGCCTGTTTTGATCGACTTTATCAGTTGATCGGGTTTTGGACTGTGTTTGGTTAGTGGATCAGCTAAACAGTAATCGCTTGTCACATGGCTTAAGTTGTGAAGCTGGCCGGTATTACTCTCAATCCTTCATCATCTGTAGTGTGTCTCTTTTTGCTTTGGCAAATGTGTAGTTTGGGCCGTGGTGACGAGGTTATTTGCATCTGTACGATCTGCGCGAATATGAATCGGTAACTTGACTGCACTTGCAAACAGTCATAGATGGGGTGGGGGTGGGGTGGGGTGAGAAGAGACCATCTCGTGGGCGGTTTCGCGTTGTGGGCAGTTTCGCGTCGCTTTTCGCGTGTTGCGTTGCATGTCGTGTCGCTTTTGTTCACATGTCGCTTCGCTTTTTGTTTCGATTCGCTAGAGAACGTAAAGAAAGTCCTTCGAAACTCTTGGATAGTCAAAACTGATCGAAACTGTAGCGAAACTTACAAGAACGAAGGTTCCGAGCAACCCTTACAGCACTTTGGCCACCTCCCAAAAAAGACTCTCCATGTACAAACATCCAAATCGTGGTGAAAAACACAATTTTTACAAAACAAAACGACAAAAATAAAAACATCACAAACCACGGCCCCTTAGGGGCGCGCCTACCATGTTTTGACCAGCTTGCATGACAAACCCCGAGCCCAAAAAAAAAATGTTTAACTCAGTTCAATCAAGATTCGTACTTAACTGAACCAGCAATTCGCCTGAGGCGCCTTTTCTCCGTTGGTGGCAACATGGCGTTTTGGGTGAGTTCTCGGAGCTTCATGGTTGCCCCTTGCGGTCGGAAAGTCACTGGTGGCGGACCTTCTCGGCGCCTTTTGCTGCATTACGCTGTTCTGAATCACATCTCTGCACCACTCCATGCCTTGCCGAGCAAGTTTGAGCCTTGCCGATCCGGCTGCCGTTTTGACAAGCTCGGAAAGTCGTCAGGTCTTTCAGGCATGCTCGGGCCAAGCAGCGATCAAACCAACTTGAGAAACCCCTATTGTAAGCTATGGCTGGAAATTGCTGCGTTTCTAAATGTTGGAATCGCTCAGAGGAAGCATGAAACTTGGAGGATGTTCTGAGCGCTCTTCAATCAAAATGCTCAGCATTTTGAGCATGGATAAGGCATGACCTCCATGCTGCCTTTCCACCACGACCTCCGTGCTCTGAGCCATCGACCAGATGGTCGATGCCTCAAAGCTCGTCTGCTCTCAGAACTGCTCAGCGAGACTGGTTTGAGTTGGAACTTAGAAACAAAAACGCCACTGAGATCAGCTATGTCAAGGAAAGACAACGGCCTTGAGACCTAGTTTCATTTCAAGCTGGCTCTGGCTTCAACAAATGACTCGGCACACCTGCTGGCCTGCAAAGATCCCTAACGCCAGCTGGTAGATATTCCGGTGGGTTGGACTTTCATACTGGGAAGTCTGATCCCAGTGTGTGACTGAAACATGCACAAGTTTCTGAGAATGTCCAAATCAACGGCGCGAAACTGTGCAAGTTTGTGTCTTCACAAGTTGCGATTCTGGGAGGCAGCTGGCAAAGATTTCAATGGCTACCTGGCGGCTACCTACCTACTTGGCTTCTAGTGCCTTGCACCATGTCAGGAAGCAAAGCGGGCGGAAACGGCGCTTTGAACAGGTGTGTCACAGGTTTCGAGCGCAGGACTGGCGAAGGCTGTGTGATTCCCTTTCGGCACTGCAACTTCGCCAATTAGGGTGTTACAAAGTTGGAATTGTAGCCGTTTTGTTAGGATCAGTTAGCATATGTTGGCACCGGCGTGGCAGTCATCGGGGTTGGGAATCCTTTTGCAAGTCTACTCGCCACTAAACTAATGTCAAAACAAAGCCCAAAACATGAAACAAGCCCTCTCTGTGCTATGTCTCTCAGAGTGCCCCACCGGGGAGTCAGTCTACAAGCAAATCTTTCCCCTTTTGGGAACCTCCTCTTGAATCTTCAAATTTGAATCTTCGAGGCGATATCTCCTACTTGGCATGGTTTTCATGCTGTATTTGACGACGTCGTCTATGTCTTGCCTTGATCTTTCTTGGGCAAAAATTGAGATTGGCTAAAGTTCTGCAACTTCTGCACATACATCGTAAATATGTATGAGTTACGTCACCCTGCTCCAACCACCAAGAACGGTGGTTCAAGTTGTTGCTGTTCGCATTGGTGAGAGGCAAGGTGGGATGCAAAGAAAAGGGTGCAGTCCACTACCAGCAACATCCTGTGGGAGCCCCTCTCGCGATTTTATCACGTGACGTGGGATGTCAACAATAACTCCACCTGCAAGTCTGACAAAACCTTTGAACAACCAAACCCTTGTCTACAGCATTGCAGAATTACAGCACCGACATGTCTTCAATGGGTTGGTAGCCACAGGTCCTGTTCTGGAGGCCAACTTCCCAACATTAGAAATCGTCTCCATGCTTTTCTGGCATCTGTGGCAAGTGACATTCAAACCTTGCTCGCCATGCTCAGCCAACACCCTTGCAAAGGAGGCCAAAGATAAGAGATGATCTTGGACCGCAACATCCCTGGTGATGCAGTCCTCAGCTTCGCCCGGTTTATTGTTACTAGTAGCGTCCTCTTGCTCCTAGCAGTAAGGCCAGGAGCCCCTAGTAAGTAGCGTCCGATCGCTCCTAGTAGCGATTCCCTTTGCTCCTAGCAGGTACTTGCTCCTAGTATTGAAGGCCTACAGCAATCTTCTGTTTAATTTGTTTGAAAACTTCCGCACAGACCTTACCTTCGAACAAGCGGGAAGGTGAGGCAAACCGATGTCAGGGCAACAAGACCCGTGCCTCCATTCATGGCCAGTGCATGTCGAAAGCTTTTTCGGGCGTGCGTCCGTCACGAGAGCCACATCTCAGCCACAGTCTCTACATCCAAAACGACTGGCACTGGCATGGATAAATGGATAATTTGAACGCACCACGTTGTACATCCGATCACCCATGCCGAAACCCTTGGGACGAAGCTGCGGCGGCCTGACGAAGCTGCGGCGCCTAAACTTTGGAGATTTCGTGAGATTGGATGCGCATCGTGCCCAATCCCAAAGGTTGTGGGGGCATATGTCGAAGCTGGCACAGCTGGCACCAATACTCACGAAAAAGGTGCTCCCTGTCTCAAATAATTTGTTGCAAGGGCCGAAGCGGTAAAACGGACTCCGTCAGCGGCTTTTGGTCTACCTGCACCACCCAAACAACCAAACCCCACGGTTCCTCAAAGCTTTCTTCCGACATTGGTCGACTCTGCAGCTTGCCTGCCGGCAAGCTGAAAAATGAGAACTCAATTCAGCTTGCTCACTACAACCAAAATGAGCTCCGACCAAGCGGTGGGCCCTCGCTTGGAAGCTGAACATCACACAGCGGTCTGTACGGCAAGCATGTTTGACATCCTGGAAGCTGCAATGTTGTTCTACACTTCCACACAGAAGTACAGCGAACATCTGCGGTAGATGGTGGGGAAATATTGAAACAGGCCACTGGTTATCCCGAGTTTGCAGTAGAGATTGGAATGAAACATCCCGCGTCAGCAAAATCCATGGAATCATCAATTAGCTTCCACTGGGACACAAACCTCGTTTCCAAGTCCACGGCCGGACTCTTGCCGCTCACGCCGCAGCCACCAATTGACTTTCACCAAGTGTGAGGCAAGCTAAGCCACACCACAAACTTTCATGGCTTCTGTAGGCCCTTGCCAGCTCGCCACATCCTCAACGACCCTTCGGCTGCAATGACAGATGGAAGTCCTGTTCTGGAGGTTTGAGGCCGCCTTCTTAAAACGTCCAGCCAGAGCGCACCGCCAAGGAGTCAGTCTACAAGCAAATCTTTCCCCTTTTGGGAACCTCCTTTTGAATCTTCAAATGTGAATCTTCGAGGCGATATCTCCTACTTGGCATGGTTTTCATGCTGTATTTGACTACGTCGTCTACGTCTTGCCTTGATCTTTCTTGGGCAAAAATTTAGATTGGCTAAAGTTCTGCAACTTCTGCACACACATCGTAAATATGTATGAGTTACGTCACCCTGCTCCAACCACCAAGAACGGTGGTTCAAGTTGTTGCTGTTCGCATTGGTGAGAGGCAAGGTGGGATGCAAAGAAAAGGGTGCAGTCCACTACCAGCAACATCCTGTGGGAGCCCCTCCCGCGATTTTATCACGTGACGTGGGATGTCAACAATAACTCCACCTGCAAGTCTGACAAAACCTTTGAACAACCAAACCCTTGTCTACAGCATTGCAGCATTACACCACGGACATGTCTTCAATGGATTGGTAGCCACAGGTCCTGTTCTGGAGGCCAACTTCTTAATATTAGACATCGTCATGCCATTTTTTGGCATGTGTGGCAAGTGACGTTCAAGCCTTGCTCACCATGCTCAAAAAATAGCCTCGCAACAAAATAGGCCCAAAAGACGCTGTTGGCAAGCGTTGTCGGCACACAAGACACGGCAGTCGGATCACCCGGCGATCGGACCTTACAATGTTGGCAAGGTCAAACCAACGGCGGCTCCAATGTTTGAGAGACACCCACCTTTTCCTCGAGGCGCTTTTTCCTGGGAAGGCTAGACTCTCGAAGCTTCCAAAGCCCCTCAGAAGATTCAGCTCAATTGTGGTAATATGAATCCAGGCGGGGAAGTGAGCCTGGCTTCAAATTGCGGCGCCACAAAAACAGTTCGATGCTGCAATAAGACCACTGCCTCCCGACACGGGTTGCTGATGCATTGCTGTAGGTGTCTTGGAACATATGCAGATAGATGGTGTTGCAACCTTCCGGGCTGTGATCTTCTCATTAGAACGGCATCTCATAAGACACGATTGATAGCCACAATGCTGACAATGCTTGTATCTGTTTGTAGGGTACATGAGATCAAGCCAGCGGCGCCTCGAATTTGGGATTCTCAGACACCCCAGGTCTCTTCAAGGCGTCTTTCCCCAAAACTGCTTGACTCTGGATTTTCCTTGCAGCGGCCCTATTGGCAGGTAGGACTGGAACTCAGTGAGCAATTACCTGCGCCCGCTTAACCAGAAACATCATTGGATGTCCAGTGGCCCAAAAGACAGGTTGAGACACCCCACCCATAGACTCGACATAGACATAGACCTTAACGCGAAACCAATAAGTTCCTCTCACTTACACTTTGAACTGCCCTGTGACATTCAGCTTGCCTGAGCAGTGTGACAACCGCGAAGATGCACTGCCGTTCTGCGCACCGGGGCGGCAAACAACTGCGGCACCTAGTGGGAAAAGTGGACATAGCCCACAGATTCTTGATGGACAGCAAGAATTACATGTTCCACGTCAGCCACGGGCGTTCCAGACCGGGACATGGTCGATTTCAAGGCTCCCATGACACATGCCGTAGAATCGCCTACAGGGAGTAATCTAATCATCTAATCTACCGGAAGATATTCTTCTGGTGTGTTTGGGGTGTTGATGCTCCAAACACATTGCGAAGTAGGCCAAAAAACACACGCAGCAAGTCCAGCCTGTATTCCTGCACAGATTAGATGAATTACCTCGTTTGATGGGTAAAACCACAAAACCTTGGTGCGCCACAGTTTGCACTTCTTGGCATCCATCAAAGAGAACCTTACTAGAGAGAAACGCTCGTTCAATGAGCCACGAAGTGGGAAACACGACATTCATGTTTCCACGAAAGAGAAAGCACTTGTTTCTAATAGCAAACATTGTTACTACTAGTAAGGCACTTGTTACTAGTAGCGATGCACTTGTTTCTAATAGCAAACATTGCTACGAAAGAGCTTCATCCGCACTGAGCAGGTCCCCAAATCTCAACGTGGGACCTGCTCTACCAATCGCTGCGGAGACCCACTGCTGTGCGCCACTCAGGACGGCTGCGCCACTCGACCCGTCCGCCGGTCGAGAAAGCCGGTCGCAAAGCGGTCCGTGTCCCATGGCAGGGTATGCCAAGATAATGGGCAATGCTGGTGCTGATCACCCTCTGCTCATGACATATTGACTGGCTTGTTGGGCACCGGCCGCGGAGCCTGCCAGGCCAAGCGAAGCCTGCTACGTCCATCGACTCTTGTCGGTCCGTTGACGGACTTGACTTTATCCAATGTCATTTGACAAAACTGAGAGCTGACGTCCATGCCATTGTTGACAAACTCCAGAACAAGTTCGGCCGTGGAGCGACAACGAACTTGGCATGCAGCAAGCTGAACCATGCTGCTCACGGACACTGCAGTGTTACCCACTGCACTTACCCTGCACGACTCCTTGGAGCCATCCTGGCGTCGCACCGTGCGTGATCCCTTGCCCTCTGTCTTGAAGTCGGGATGCCGAGAAATGCTTGAAATGGACTGTGGCGCCTTTCTGTTGCAAGCATGGGCCTGTTCAACCATGTGCGTGGAAGAAAGGCAGATAGGCCCTTGGGCTAAGCTTGAGGCGGTTGTCTCATCTCAGCGACTGGGAATACACTCCGAAAGGCGTGAGGACAATAACCTGCTTGTCTTGTTTTGTAGCATGAGGCTTAACGATCAATCTCTTCCATCAAAATGTCCCTCCCAATGTGCCACGAGGTCAAACCAACCTCTGGATCTGTAAGGTACAGCTGAGAGGCAGGTTTCTCGATTATTGCTGATGGACAACATCCTGCACCGCTGTAGATCCAGCAGCCGACCGTCTGCCACTGTCATAAGTTAAGTCAACAGTCCCAAGATTTCAAGAGTGCAAAAGAACCCACTGACCCACTGCTTAGTGGAACTGCCAGTTGGAGACACAGCGAACCAGTGTGCAGTCAGACGTCACTCAAGGTGCACCGGCCTCCGGCCCTTGTTCAACCACCAGAGATGCGAACTGGTGCACAAGCATTAAAACAGCCCTCTTTGGGGGACCTGCCAGAGTTGGGAGGGCTTTTGTGACTTAACTGTGGTGGAGTCTTCTTCGTCGACTTGGAGGAATGACAAACACCTCACGCAAAGAGACAAGTTTTGTGCTACACGTCTGAATGGCCAAGTTTGTTGCACGTGGCTTTGTGTGGCCTGTGGGGAATCTCAGCCGCCGCCTCCCTTGCCGGCTGCTAATCCACACGTCAAACCGTAGAATCGGAAATTATCGTCATTGAAACCAAACCGCTGGTAGTCTCAAGCTGCCTCGTGTGTTCAATGACTATGACTATGACTATGTGAGGCACACAAGCGGTCATCTGGAAGTCTGGTCTTGCACAGGCTCAACGACATGTCCTTGCGTTGGTGAATTGCGCAAACGTCTTGACACGCACAAGACGCTTGCTGTCTTATCGCATTGCACAAAGACGCGCTGCAATCCAAGAAGGACAAAGGTACATCTTGGTCCTGGTGTCTAATTTGTTCAAGCAAATGTCGACTGGTTTGAAGGTCGGCAAAGGTTTTGATTATCAGCACGCCTTTCCCGTGGACGTCGAGCTGACTGAGAGAGCCAAGTGCAGTTTGGTGAGCCTTTCTGTTTGGCGATTGCCACTTGAGCACCTGCAGTTCCATTGCTTTGCATGTTGCAGGACAAATTTATCTATCTAGCCGCACCGGTAAATTGAAACATGCAGCTCAAGAGGTTGCACTGCAGCACTGGTGCGAAAGCTTCTGGGGGCACCACCTGGCATGGGCATGCTTCGAGCTTCGAGCGCTCTGTTTTTTGGCAAAACTGCTGTGAAACATAGGCCAGCTCAGCATGGTGCCAACTCCAGGGTGGCTAGTTGACTCTGAAACGCGTGGCTTTGAAGGAGGTGGCAAGTGTGCATTCTGACCATACCTCTCACACAAGATCCTCTCACACTTGATTCATGTTCGGCTGGGCAGGGGCTCAATTGGCTCAGCCTACTTTGTTTAGGGCCACCGCTGTGGTACAGCGCAGCCAAATGCTAACCGGGGCACCATCCTGTGCCTTCCGACTTCCCACAGGGACGGTTCCGAGATCCGACTTTGACAAAAAGAAATAGATCACTTTGGCATATATACAAGGGCAGCCTTCCCCAAGCTGAAGGATGCGGCGTGTGATGCGCGCTGTCGCCAAGACAAAATTAGAAGGGAGGAGGCTATCTTCCAACCGCATGGCGTGTGCAATTTGGGGGGCGACCTTGGTTGGAATGCCAGTGCTGCAAGGCAAATGCTTTGGACAACATCCAACAAGGCATCAGCTTAGCTCTAAAACAGCCACTTGGCGATGAAAGGCTTGAAATTCTTGAAAGGCCTGGGAAACCTTCCTTTATTCAACATCCTTTCCGTCTAACCTCACGCCGAGCCAGTGCAGTGTGGCAACCATCCAGGCCTCTCAACCCCTGGTCACGACGGTCTTGGCGCACGCCAACAAAGTCACGATGTTCAGCTCCTGCATTCTTGGCGCAGCGAATGAAACGCCGTCCGATCCCAACGCGTCGAGATATTTGGTGCACAGCGCCAGCAAGCTCCTGCCAGTGATGCTGGGTGAAATCATCCGATCTGAAGTCGAATTCAGTATTGATCGTGCATTGCATCTCTGGCTCTAATGGAAAGCACCTGCAACTTCTCACAGGCGCTGGAGAAGTGTATGACCCAGGCCCAGGCCTTCTTCAAATACCGGGCTCAGTTTCAGGGCATCCCTGAGAAGTGTGGGGGCCTGAGGATCTTGCTACTCCAAGAATCCAATAAACTCGTCAACCCACGCCGAAGAAGGCTAACAAAAAACTCAACACCTTTTGACTAGATATTGCCAGAAAAGTGGGACGGGGTTGCTGCAAGTGCCGTGCGGAGCCCATCTGATTGAGCCGCTGGCGAAGCAAACATAGAAGCTGGTCACCGGAGAGGGGAGTGGTCGGGGCAAAAGAAACGGCCAGTCTTGAAACGGGAACCACCAGCCGAGACCTGCAAGGATCAAGGTTCGAAGACCCCACACAGTGACTACGTCTGGGATGGTGGGAGCCACGCGCAAGCACCAAGCTGGGGCCTCTGTTTGAAACTTGGCGCGAGGGTTGAAGGACTAAGCGTATTCCATCAGGTCCCTACTTCCAAAACGAGACGTGACACAGGTGAGATGTCGCTATGGTCTTCAGGTTGTTCCTCCTGTGACGAACAAAAGTGGCAATATGACCGCGATTTATGGTAGGCGATGTGAGGGCTCTCCTCGGCAAAAACAAGCGAAATGGCCTGGCCCCATGAGATTAGGAATCTTGCGGGCGTCTCTTTCCGGAAGCTGTTGGTTGTGGGTGACTTCATCCAATCCGAACCAATTCTGATCTTGCAGAAAGCATCTCTGACGGAAAGCGCGGTCACAACGGCCCTAAAAGGGGTACCCTGATGGGCCCCACCGGACAAAAGTCCCAACGAAATCGCATCTAAGCTGATTGGCTGCAATATTTGAGCTCGCACGTTCTTTCAGGATGTGAAAGCAGCCGTGAGTACCAAACAAGTGTTCTTTGCTTTAGTCCATGTTGCGGGGAGAACGGTTTGTTTTAGAAGCTGTTGCTGTTAGAGTACAAGCTAGAAGAAGAGAAGAAGAAAAAGAAGGACAACAGGGGATGCCCTGACAGGTGTGGAAGGTTTCCTCGTCCGCTTGCAGGCACGCAGTCATGGATTGTCCCGGGTGGTCTGTGCAGAAGAACTATGTTTGGCCATGAAGTGTTTGGGTGTCGCAATTCTGGGGACATTCCGTTGGCACGCGCCACCTCGCAGCACCAGCTGCTCACACACGACACACTCTGAGAGTGCACCCGCTGTGGCTGGCGGCATGAGAAGCCCAGAAGAGTCTCGCAAGCTGAACACGCCAAGTGGTGATCCACGCTAACTGCTGAATCACATGAAGCAATGTCCAAAACAACCATGTCATAAAACATTGTCAGATCATCGACAAAATGTGTTCTCCTGATGTCCTTTCCGAAGCAGGAATCTGTCACAATTTGACCGTTTTGTCTTCACCAGCCCCGATACTTGGCCAAACAAACAAGCATGTAGCGACCTCCCTTCCTCGACAAACTGCAAACGCAAAACGTCCGACAGTTCGAGAAATGTAAGGTGCTGATCTCCGCTTGTTTGTGAATCACGTGAAGGAATGTCTATGTCAAGCGTGCCACCCGGATGCCTTGAAAGCTTTGCCATTGAAACTCCCACAAGCTGGCCGAAGCTTTCCAAAGTAACCTCCTTTTTCCATGGTTCCTTCTCTTCAGCTCCACCGGTTGCGTTTCTATGGCCATGGATGCGCCGCAGCTCAGTGTGAGAAGCGTTGATGCCAAAGCCAGGCAATCTGCACGGCTTCTGCTACAAAGCACTCCCCAAGCAATTGACTCCACCTGTTCACCTGTGGCCTGGGCTGGCTGGCAACGGCTTTGCACGCGCAATAGGTTCATTCTGCGCGCTGAGCTGTTGCAAGGTTTCAATGCCATGATTGGAAATGGCGTGGCGATGGCATCTAAGTTGAACTCTAAAGGGTTTCCAATGCAAAGTGCACACGAGGATGATGCCAAGAATGGCGGGCAAAGAATATATCAATCCACGATGGCCGCGGCTCATGTGGTAGTGAGGCATCATAGAATCTCATGCCACGAATAGTCACAGCTTGCTGCGTACGGTGAGGACACATGCTTCACACGCGCAGGTCAGGTTGACAGGGAACTATCCTGATAAAATGGAAACCTCGAGGAGTTTCGCCACGCTGTGCATAGTATATAACCTTTGCCACACGAAATCTTTGCAGCAGCTTAAGCCAGAGGCACAACAAAGTATCCCTGCGACTCGACTTGTAGGGATACGGCTTAAAACAGTTGATGTTCCAAGGAAATCACTTGTGTGATCAGTTGTTGTGCTTCAAGTTTCGGCTATAGACCCACTAGGAAGACCCAGTGCCAATGCCCTACTTCAAGTGATGCCCCTGGAGACAAACGTTTTGGAGTGACCTCAAGTGCTTGACGGCCGAACTAGGGGTGTTCAAATTTGTCCCCAACAGTTAGCATTCAGTAGCATTGCCTAGACCGAAGCGGCGAATTCAACACTTACCTATCTTTCCTGTGGCTCTTATTGGCATGATCACTCCGCTCCCTGTCCTTGCAACTTTTCTCATGAAGATAATGCCACTAAGGTAAAGCAAATGGGTCAGTGCCTAGTCCTGACAGCTCTAGGACTCGAAAACATCCAGGTCAACCAAAGAAGAAAATCCATCACAATAACTGAAATGACTCATGTGCAGCAAAGCCCGCGCAGGAGAGAAATCTTTGCTGCAAAGTGGGAAGGCAGTGTCTGGAGAACAGGATGCAAAAGAAATGGGCTGTGCGCCAATGCTGCTTGGGCGTAACCATGCCTTTCAGCCTCCAACCACAAAAGTTGCGAGAAATGGTCCCACGGTGGACCAAAACCGGGCTCCATGTTGTCAGAACTGTTTGAAGCCGCCAAGAATGAGCCAAAACAACGGCGTGCCAACAATCCAAGTCAAAATCGAGGTTCAGAAGGGCAAACCACTTCTAGGAGGAAACACGTGCCACATGGGTTTACATGGGTTGTATTGCTTGGGATTTGCGTGGTTCGTCTACATGGTGGTGATATGACCGCGATTTATGGTAGGCGATGGGAGGGCTCTCCTCGGCAAAAACAAGCGAAATGGCCTGGCCCCATGAGATTAGGAATCTTGCGGGCGTCTCTTTCCGGAAGCTGTTGGTTGTGGGTGACTTCATCCAATCCGAACGAATTCTGATCTTGCAGAAAGCATCTCTGACGGAAAGCGCGGTCACAACAACATCCATGTCACAAGGCCGGCCAATGTCGGCCCTAAAAGGGGTACCCTGATGGGCCCCACCGGACAAAAGTCCCAACGAAATCGCATCTAAGCTGATTGGCTGCAATATTTGAGCATGCACGTTCTTTCAGGATTTGAAAGCAGCTGTGAGTACCAAACAAGGGTTCTTTGCTTTAGTCCATGTTGCGGGGAGAACGGTTTGTTTTAGAAGCTGTTACTGTTATACTCACCGCAAATGAGATAGTGGTGAGATGGGCAGCGCCCACCGACAAGTCCTAGCTCATGTTGCATCAGCTACAATGTTGCAAAAGGATCATGAGATAGGAGGTGTGGAACCTCCAGACCCCCCCAAAAAAAAACAGAGTCAGTGGCCACATAAGCAGGGTAAGGGTGAAGGTGAAGGATATCTATGGGTAAAGTCGCAGACAGCTCAAGGAAAAGCAACTGGATTCACGTGC